CTATACCAACAGAATGCATGAAATAACTTTAAATAGATTTGGTAATATGCAGCATATATATTCATGACTTTTTACCTTTCTACGAAGTAGGCCCTATTCACAATGCTTGAATATTTTGAGAGCATGGATAAAGACATGTTGTTAGTTTGATACATGTTTCTGTGGTAAATTAGTGTTTCCAGCTGTGTACTGAAAACATAACTTTTCTTAAGCAGTTTTTTTTTTTGTCATCCATAAAAATAAAAAAGTGTGGCCTTAGTGGAAAATATGCACAGGAAACACTCAGTGAAAGATATGATTTGAAATCTTCAACAAGTTCTACTTAAATCTTAACAGAGGCAAAACAAAACTGTTTTACAACAATACTTGCGAAAATTATTTGGTTAAATGCATGCTCCAAAACATTATAAAATATACAGGACCCATTCAAATGTTGTTTTAAACTTGGCTTCAGTGTTACAAAAAAAATCATGCATATTTTGCATCATTATTGATGTACTTCTGGCAGGTTATGCCTTATTTCAATAAAGAATTTAATTAGAAAAAAGGTTCCAGAACCTGGATGTGAAATGGGACCTGATATCATGAATAAGGGTAATGACATGATCTTTTAATGGGGAAACATATCAATGTTTCAGATACATAATTTCAGAATCATTAAAAATATAGTTTCTGTGTAGCATTTGGGTCTTTTTTTTCTATAAAGAACATAGTTGTTTGGTTGCCTGCTTTTCAGTTTTGTGTCCATTTTACAAATTTATGACTTAAAAAAATATACAGTATCTGTAAATTTCACAATTTTTCCCCTTGAAAAGATTGAGTCATTACCATACATTCTGCAAGAATTCACAACAGTAAAATTAAAATTACAGTAAATAAAAAGAACTTGCAAATTAGCCATTATAAAACCAACACAATGGACATTGGTCATCACATTACCTGGTCTGGAGTAGTGGACAGTGGGGAGGGTTTTATCCCCATGTGAGCCGAGGAGATCATCTCTGATGCTGCGGTCACCCCACCGCCGTTGTGGTCATCTTGTAGTTTCATACGACTCTGTGTCTGAAATGATTGTCACAGGATTTCATCAGCATGGTAAATACTTTTGAAAAAGATCACAGACTGTACTAATGCATTGAAAAAAATTGAGGATTGTTTACTTCACACAGCCAGAACTTACAAGAATACCCCAAAAGAGATATTTATGGCTGTTGTAGCCAGTTGCTTCATACCGAGCAAAAAGTAACAAGGTTAGTACTGTCTAGTATGATATTAATTAAATATTCCACCTTTCAACACACAGCACGATTCGAGTTTAATCTGAGAGTTAGAGAATCCTAATCATTCTGCTATACTGAAAAGATCCTTTTGTTTTAATAATTTACAGCAAGTTTAAACTGCCATAAAACCAAAGTCAAAGTGTCAATATTCTCCTCTCCCCTCCCCAACTCTCTTACTCCCTCAATCACAAACATCCAAATTTACTAATATACATATTTAACTAGAGGATCAGANGCCTTACCGTCTAGGAGGAGAAGTGGTAACGGTAGCCGTCCGGCGGAGCCGGCGGAACGATCCGGACGAGACCGAAACCATGTGTACCGCCAGCGCTAACGCTGGTGGTACAATTATCCATCTTGGCCTGCTTTAGGAAAGCATTTGCCAATAACATTTTTTTCAGCAAAAATGGAGGTTTGTTTCAGCCTTCCTCAGCGACAGAATTTTCTCTGCCCTAAAGTGACCCAATATACATACCAAATCTTTGAGCTTGTGCTGCAGTTTGGCCTTCTCTTTGGTCAGTATGTCCACCTGGTCCCTGCCCCCCTTCTTCCCACCTCCGGACATCTCTAGAAGGGCAATATGAGAGTCCTTCTCACTGATGGCTGCTACTATGGCCTCCTGCCTAAAAATGTTATTAACACTATCTTACAGGTGCTTGTAACTATAAAAATGTTGCATGTTTCAATAATTTTCATTGTTTTATTGTGGTTCAAATTACAAGTGTATAAAGCAGAAGCTTTAACTTCATCAAAATGGAGTGATTTCATCTGAACTCCTAATGAGAGATGATTTCATTTCATAAAATTCAGGAAAAAAATTTTATCCAGGTTTGCATATACACGACTTGTCTTTCTTTTTCTTAAATTTATATACTTCCAATAATTTCTTCCATACTTCATTTCTAGAACTTCCTCCATGTGCTTCTTCCGCTCTTCCTGTAACTCCTTCAACATCTCCTCACGTTTTTCAGCCATCTTGGCCTGCATGGCCATTTCACTGTTCTGCTGCTCTGTCTTCTCTTGGAGTTCATTTATTTCTGTGGTCAGTTCAGAGATCTGAAACAAAAATTTCAAAAGCGAGTCACTCACCAAATTGAATTAAATTTAAATCTAGAGTTAATACATACTATGAAAAATGTAGCTTATTTCCTGATGGAATCTACTAGCTCATTTTGTGATGCACTCTACAAGATACATTTCTGGAAGGTAAGTCAACTGGAATATTTTTTCAACCTTCCTATCATCTTCATCATATTGAATAAATAGTTATAATAACATAGAAAACATGAAACAAAGAGAGATGATACGAAAATATATTTTGATAAAACAGGATCAAGTGACATGATTGCAAAGAGACTGTAAGTTCAAAAGGTATACAAATGGTCTCCTTGAAAAACTGAAGGAGGCCAAAATATGCTTCATAATTTCCAACATGACCGGTCAATTATTTCATATGCCGATTTCTAAATGTGGTAAAACGTTCTTCACCTGTCGATCGGCATCCTCCAGGTTGGCTTGCTGTTGGGCCAGAACCATTTCTCTTTCAGCAGTAATCTTAACACTCTCTCGTAGAGCTTCTTCCAGTTCCTCAATACGCTCTTCTTTTTGTTTGATAGTGCTCTAGGTACACAGAGAAAGAAATAGCAACAAAAAGGTCTAACTTAAAATGGAAAACCAAAGCGGTACTGTTACAGACCAAGGCCAAAGGTCAATAAGGTTCAGGTCAAGGTCACACAAATACAGGATACACAAAAAAGAAGATTTAATTTCAAAAGAGGAAAAAATGACACAAGAATCAAGGTGGATTTCAGCAAATAAACAATAGGGAAAAATAAAAAAAATGGAAGTAATGAGAAAAAGAAGAAAAAAAGATAAATCTCATTAATGCACTCATTTTTCTCTCCACTTCCAGATCCCAAAACATCACCATTTATAACAGTGTCATGCTAAATAATATTGTAACAGTTTTGCTACATAACTTGTAATAAACTACAACAAAAAGTTTGAATCTAAACAATCCATGCTGTATTAAGTGCACATGTGTATAACTTATATATGTATACTATTAACCTGTAAATACAACTTAACTCTTTTCATATGCCCATACAAAATATGCTTATTACAGCTAAATGCTTTCCAATTTGCTTTAACTGCAAGGATAACAGAAAGTAATGCTGTCAATTGGTTGAAAAAGGGATTAGAACAAAAAATTAGCTAATTTTTATTTCAAAATCATAATAGCCATAGAAAACTAAAACTCACACAAACACCGTTACAACAAAAAAGCTCTGACATGTTCATTTTTTTTTCAAATTAAATCTCAAGCAAAGACCCCAATTGTCAGTAGATCTTTTTTTGCAACTAAAAATAATTTCATAATAAAATTTAGAAAGAGATGAACAAAGTTATTCTTTGTTAGTACTCTAATTCAGTGCAAACATTAATTTTAGTATGATTGTGATTACACTGGCTGTATTAAAAATAATTTTGCACACAGGTGCATATATGGACTGTGGCTACCCAAATTTTAGTGATTTAAGATTAATACAGACAAAATGCATCAAAATTTAATAATCAAATAAATTAAAATCATAAACATTTACTACTGTTACTTTCTACACACGAATTACAAATATGAAACTGGCACACAAACAATGCAAACTCTAGCACATCAATGGCAGAATACACACATCAAATGAAGGGGAAAAGTTATAATCAAGGAAAATCAATTTTCCAACATTGAACCACTTTAAAACTGAGAAAATCTCTACTACAGGTGAGATTATGTGAATGGTAATTACACAAAGATTTCCTTGTTTATTCCCGACCAAAGTTACTTGTTTACTTTATCCTTATCATATTTAGGTTGAAAAATTGTTTAAAAAATAAGAAGGACAACTTCGTGACTTGAAACAAGTCTTGCTTTTCTAAAATTCTAAGTATGATTTTCAGGTATCAAGAACAAAGTACTTTTGGGGGAAAAACAGATCATTTTCTTTCAAATTCAATGAGTAATTACCATATATATATATATATATATATATATATATATATATATATATATATATATATATATATATATATATATATATATATATCAATTAAAAGGATATACAAATAGGTATCAGTAAACACCACATTAACAATAATAACCACTGATTAGAAATTAAATATCGGGTAAATTCAGTGGTAATTTTTCACACTTGAAGCTTAAAAATTAGTATCATTTTGTGTTAGACATCACACAGTGTAGGCACACATTAACTGATGAGTATACAGTACCAATAAAAAATATGTGAACAATGTTGTTGAGTAAAAATACCTTCAACTGTGAGGCATCAGTTGAGACACCTTCCTCCCGCTTACGTGCCTCCTCCAGAAGATGTGCCTGCTTTTTTTTCTCTAACTCCTTACTGCGTTTTAGTGACCCCATCTTCTGTTTGTAGTCCTTGATTTGACTGTAGACAAAAACAGGTTTTTTATTAAATAATCAGATCATTTGATAATATATTTATAAATACAAAACAATCCTATTTTCATGTTCTGTTAAAATCTGTTTCACAATCTGTTTAAAGTCCACTTACATGAGATATTACCTGAAAACTAAAATCTTTTGGTAGAAGTTGGATATAGTTTAGAAATCTTTCTTTTTAAAATAACAGATTATTTATATATCTATTTAAATAAGGTAAGATGAAGTATCCTGTACCTTGTACAAATATTTTAAGTTGTAAAACAAAACAAAAAAAAATTGAGTCAAAATCATTGTTTCTATATAATAAAAAAAACAGTACATTTACTGAAAAAAATCTATGATATCCCATGCGGATAATTCAAATGTGATACTCTGTAACAAATAACTATGTCCTTGCTCTTACTCTTGCATGACTTTAATGGAGGAGTCCTTGTCATGTTTTTCATGCTCTGTGGCTTGCATGATATCTAGCAGACGATCCAATTCTTTCTGTAACTGCTCTGCCTGCTGCTTGTACTCAGCCACTTTCTTCTCCAACTCTGATATCTTCTGCTCTGACTCCTCTGACATCTTTTTGCTGTCTGCACTCTGCAGATTCTTCATCTGAAATGTTGATTCAATCATTTTAAATACTGTCTTTTAATTTTTTCTCCCACACTACAATTACATATCTTCTGGAAATGGACACTCACTGATTTTCAACTGCAACATAGTCATACTGTATGACTGTTACAAAAAAGAATTATATTCTGCCTTCAATCTGCAATCATTTTTATTGCTCTAAAGACACCTTTTATTTGTTAGGGGTATATCCAACCTCCATGTTTATATCAATTCTGTGCTTTTGATATACCATCTTTTTTGTTTTTGACTCTCTGTACTCTGCTGCCTCTTTGTCTGAAAGTCCAATTTTCCAATCATACAAAATTGTAACTTTAATATGCAAATCTGTTTTTTAACTCTTCAGAAATCATCCCTTTATCATAGTTCTATTCAGTCACCTATTTTGACAAAGACAAAACAAAATAAAATAATATATTTTCTCTGTAGCTGACCAATCTTTGTTAAATCTATACCTGTACATTTATTGTTTTACATTTAAGCCAGTGCTCATGTTGGTAGAAAGAACATTGCAACTGTCTACAAGTACAGGTCCTAGTTTCGAAAAAAAAAATGTTAAGTCAGTTCTCTGGCTTAGTTAACTAGAATTATCATGACAGTGTTGTAACAAAAGATTCTCACTGTATCTTCTTGTAGCTAATAAAGCAACCTGGTTGTTCAAGCACAAAGATAACTGGCCTACCTCCTCTAGTTTCTCTCTGAGCTCAGCGAGTTGTGCTGTGGCTTGTGAGAGCTCTTCCTCTTGTTGTTTTATCTTGGATTCTCTCTGGAATTTCTCCGATTTCAGCACCGAGACTTCCTCTCGTATCTCAAGCAACTCCGTCTGAATAGAATGAAAAGTTAAGTTAAATCAAATGTATCAATTGCAGTAAAAAAAAAACTACTAATGTGAAACTAGGAATATTTGAAATCTCATTATGTACATGTCCACTTGCTAAAATTTGAATGTAGAAGACCTATCACAATGTAAGTCATATTAAGCTTTTATAGTATCAAACCACATGAATCATGAAACAATTATATTAAGTTCTACAACTGTGGATCACTACTCACTGCTTCTATAAACACAACAATACACTGAGGGCACCACTAACACATTTCTGTAATTTTGGCACAACTAACACAATCCAGTAACTCCTGTACCCTTAAACTCTTCTTTCCACTCCTCCAATAAATCTACTGTATATACCTGATTATCTGCCAGCTGTTTCTGCAAACTGTCATGTTTGGACTTGAGATCTTTACTGCTGGATTGTAAAAGCTCCAACTCCTCCTGATGTTCTTTGTGATCACGCTCTCGTTGCTCCTTTAACCTGAGAAGAAATAAAAAAAGAAAAAAGTTTGTAGTATCTGTCTCTTTTGTTCAAATGAATCAATCATTTTTGTTTCTTTTTATGCCACAAAATTCCAGGAAACTTATTACAGCATTGATAATAATTATTTTCTTAATCATTTAAAAAAATTATTGTTGTCAATACAGTTTAATATTTTTTTCAAATATTATTGATTCTGTACATTATCAGTTAAAAATAGGAAAATGTCCATCTTCTTCCCATCCAACTCTCTCCCTCTCTCCCTCTCTCCTTTATTTTGTACAATCAAGGCCAGACCACTTATAATTAAACACATTTAAGGGAGAATATTTAAACAATATAATAACTAATATTATAATAATTAATATCCCAATTTCAATCATTTTCTATTGAAATTGAAAAAAAAATTAAATATTTTAATAATATCATAACTATAATTACAATAATCAATACCTCTCTATCTGCCTGTCTCTCTCCATCACTGTCTCCTCCAGAGTGGTCACCGTGCTATCCGATGCACTGTGGTCAGCCTGAAGACTGGTCACTTTGGACTTGAGACTGGTCAGTTGATTGTCCTTGTCAGTAAGGGTCTCTTCTAAGTTTTCAATCTGTGAAAGGAAAATAAATATATTTTCATACTTTTATTTTTATCACCGCTTTTGACATTTTCATCCTTTTTTTTATAAGAAATAAAATTTGCCACTTCATGTTTGATAATCAATATAACAAAACCTGTTGGGAATATTGAGTGCACATAAATGGATAAGGGAATTGGTTAAAGAGATTTGTCTGATTTTTTGTGACTGCCTTTTTTTCTTATATAATACCAATACTTCAGTAAATGGGAAGAACACCTGCAGTCAACAGATAGTATAGCATATCAGAGAAATAAGTAAGAATAGACTGTGATTGTCATCTACCTTTCTTTGTAAGACATTAATTTTCCTATCCTTGATATCGATGTGATCCCTCAGTTCCATTACTTCAGCCTCCATCTTCCTGTGTTCCTGCTGTACCGTCTGCATCTGCTTGGCACGCTCATCTATTGTCTTCTCCTTCTCTTTTAGCCGGCCCCTGAGTTCTTCAATCTAATAATCATAATAATAATAATAATAAAAATAGTGATAAAGAAATTTAGAGACGAAATCAGAAACTTTGAAAAAATTACAAAAATGCAAGAAAATTTCCAGATAAATCCACAAGATGTTCATCTCTTAATAATAGGGATGAGAGAAAACTGGAAATACAAGAATGAAGACAACAGAAAAGATGAAGGAACAGTGTTAAGTATAATATACTGTTATCTTCCTTGGTTAAAAAAAAAAAAAACCCTTAACAATATGATAATTAAGCCTCTTTTTCTCTAAGGGCCCATTCCCAATGAAAATATCTTTCGATAAAGATTGATGTATTTCCCTAGGGACTCCTGCTGAATTCAATCAGATTAACTGTATGACACGCCTTTTGTTTCTAGCGTACTTTTATAATCACCAGCTTTTATGTATTCTATTCAACACCAGGAGGAGGCATGTTAATCCATTGATATGAATGCATTCAGCACGAGTCCCCGTGGAGTTGGGTTGATCTACAATCTCAAGCATGATTGATGGAATTAAAGAGGAACTTCATTAAGAATTACAGTATCTGGTTTCTTTCATACAAAAAAGCAAGTCTGAAAATTATTCTGTGAATTAAGAGTTTTCATTAGGTAAATGTCATCTGTCTTCATTCATACATTCATTCATGATAAAGATATCATTTACATAAACATAAGGGAGATTTATCAATTTTATGCAATCTCTCCAATCAGCTAAATTTCTTGTTCTTTGATCTGAAAACATAAAAAGAAAGGAAAAGAATATCCACAGCAATTCTTAAAGTGGCACTACAGGACAGATATCTCTGCTGAATATAAACGATTTGTCTGACAATTTCAGGTACTCCATAAATCTCAATTTTCATATAATATCATTTGAAACCATCAAAGCTGGATCTTATGTCAAAACCTAATTTGCATCCTATAGTTTAAAATTTGCATAAAAAAATGTCAAATAGTAACAAGATCAATAGAACCCAAAGTTGCATTTCAATTTCTATTCAACAGATCTTGCTTTTTATGGTGAATTCATTTGTACATAATATAATCCAGTAATGTATTTCATAATAAGAAACCTAAAAACTAAAAGTTCATTACATATCTTTTAACATTTTTGTTCTATATATGTCAATATGCATTCTAAAATAAGACAAAAACAAACAAACAAACACATTACACCACAAAATCAGTTGCAAAAGCCACTGTCATAAAAATAAGTTAATATCAAATAAAAATCAATTCTCAGACTGATCTGGAGCATATCTGCAAATCAATTTCAACTCACAGCTAACACAATCTGTCTGAAACATTACACTTTTCTCATTCATCACTGGGAATTATAACCATGCCAACACAAGCATCTGTTTTCCACCTTTTGTTCGGTTAAGGGCTTATTCACTTTCAGAACAGAATCAACTAATTCTTTAAAAAGTCTATTAACTGGCATCATTCACCAAAAGACTGAACTGCTTGATAAGGTTAATAATAATAATAATAATAATAATAATAATAATAATAATAATAATAATAATTAGATCCAATTAAATAGGTTTCATGTTGCACTGGCTGTGCATTTTCTGGTTATCAATTGTTATATACATGATGTACAATTATACCTGAGCAATAAAGTACCCACAGTTAACACGGTCTTTGAGTTCAATTACTGTGAAATCACGTTCAGAGCAAGAATAACTAAGACCAGATACAGTATATATCACACCATTCATCATGTCATCTAATTCTTTGATACTTGAAAGAAAAGTCAAATTAAATGGTGGCTACTTTGGGGTCATTATATTATCTAGTTATTTAACTAGGGATCATGTGTTAGCTAGTTATTTAATGCCATCATTTATTTACTTCCAGTTCAAGACACTCCCGTTGGGAATGTATCTAAGAACGCATTCTCAACGAATTACGCCAGGCTTTACAAAGCCGGTGACCTAAAAATGGCGGACGTACATGAAAGAAAAACCGCCTAATCTTTTAATAGTCTCTCCGCCTCCCCACACGTCGTCCCTGCGGGGTACAGTAATTAAATCGCGTCTCCGTTCGCCATGCGGAAGCTACCTGAGAAATATTAAGTGCGCATGCTCATCAGTTAAACTCGTGGTGAAGAAAGCATGGCGGCTGAAGGCGATCGAAGGAAAAAAGCTTCTGTTCTATTATCTTTGAAAACAGAGACGAAAAAGGAATAATTTGGCCCGTAGAGCAGCAATGAATCGACTATCTACGGAGATAATATCACCAGAGATATTCACGGAAATATTAATGTTCGGAGCCGAGATTTAATTACTGTACCCCGCAGGGACGAC